CTTGAAGACAGACCCTAGGTTCACGCATATATCACAAGGGCCTAAAATGTTGTAGTTTCTCAGTAAATGCTTGCTGGATGAAAACGTGAGACAGAATGAGTGGCTGGTGCCATCCAGGTCGAAATAAATCAATAAAGTAGAATAATTGGAGCTTAGCCTAGAAGGTAGCAACTGACAGCCTGGATTCGGGAGTGATCCATACTGAACTGCATCCTTGTCCTTAGAGGGGACAGATAGGCAAGATTTAGTGAAACTTCATTCATCTGATGTACTTTGGGGATGCTGTTAGATGGGGACAGCCTTGGAAAAAGATATCATGGAGAGAGAGGAGGAGCGTCAGGGAAAGAGTGGAAGACCCTCACCCAGATGGATCGACGCAGTGACTGTAACAGTGGCCTGCAGCCTGTCAGAGGTCATGAGGAAGGTGCTGGATAGACAAGGGGTCTGAGTCACCTCGGTGGCATCTAAGGACCAAAACAATTGAATCTCTGAGAAGAGCATATGATTATACAGACTAGAGAAAGGGTGTGCAGACTGCGGGTAAAAGCTTGACTAACTCCTAGAGTTAAGGCTAATGTGCAGGGAGGAAAGGAACGAGGAAGTGATGGCAGAGAACAGGAAGAGAATCACAGGGGACAAGGACAGAAAGAAGAGTGCTCAGTTTGTGCACATCTAGGTACAAGCATGTATTTTAAATGGTTAAGTAATGTTTAATACATCTACCAGGGAGCTCTGGTGGCCTAGTGGTAAGAACTTGTGCTGCAATCCCTGAGAAACATTGTTCAATTCCATCAGGTGCTCCACGGGAGAAGGATGAACAATCTCCTCCTGTGTGATTAACTGCCTCTAAAAATCCACTGAAGGATCAGATGTGGGTCGATTGCCAATAGATGGTACACATAACAACACAACAATAACTCGGTGAAGTGATATGGAGTCATTAAATTATTGTCGCAGATTTTAATAACCTAAGAAAGTGTGTATAATTTTAACACTTGAAATAGTTAAATTTACATTATATTGTACAATATGACCTCAAATTTATTGTATACATATAAACATGATGATTGATCCTGAAAAAAATTTGAAATATATTCCTTGATTCTGTGTTAAAGAACATAAACCCTCTTATTATTGAGGTAATTAGAGTTGAACCAAACATGTAGTGTCACAGAAACTTTGTACATGGTACAGCTTGAAAGCACTAACATTTCAGAGTCTACCACATGGTTCTTTTAAGAGTTCTCATGACTACACTATTGAGCTAAATATATAATTTTTATGTGTTGTACATAGTAGTTAAGCAACAGGATAATTATATCACAAAAATTGTTTACTTTATAAATTCATTTAATATAGTATCACTACTAGTAGCCTACCCTAGGATATTTTAAGCGATTGTGCTAAGCTTTATTTCTAGACAATTTTTGTGAAACTCTTATTAAAGCAAGCATATGGTTTAGTTGTGGGTTGTTTGGGTTTGGTTTTGTTTCTTTTTTTTTTTAAAAAAAAAACAAGCTCAAAAATAGACATGGTTTCTTACTATTTTATGGCTTTGAAAACCATTCTGAGTTCTCTGCTACACCCGCTGGCAGTAAGATTTAACATTAAACTTTCATTTTTATTAACTTGACTGCATTTGTTTCTCAGATGCCCTTTTAGAGCCAACTGTGGAATAAAATTAAAATTCTTTTTATAACTCTTTAGTTGGAGAAAATGGCATTTCCCCCTTTTCTTTTGAATAACAGTGTATTTCACCTCTATTTCCTGCATGTACCCCTGGCTTTGTTTTCTTCTCCGCTAATCTGTCTTTCATTTCATAGCATCATGACATGAATTTTCCCAGAGCACAGCACTGGGCATTCTCTTTCCCCAGTCTGTTCACTGACTCCCCTTGCCTGCCTCTCTTGGAATCACAGTGTATCCATCAGAGAAAGATCAGTTTATATAGTTTCCAAAATGTTGTTTCTTGATCTTCACTGTTGTTAAGTTCTCCATTTGCACTGGAGATTCCTGTTCATGTTGTGTATCGAGTCATCTCTGTTCTATTGTCGGTTGATATGTGCCATGGAGTCGACTGTGGCTTATAGCAACCCTGTGAAGAACAGATTGAAACCTTGTGGTATCCTGCACCTTCCTCAAGATCTCCCCATCATCCTCAACCACATTGTTACAGTCACTGTGTCAATCCATCTTATTGAAGATCATCTTCTCCTTTCTGACCCCCCAACCTTCCTAGCATGAGGTCTTTTCCCAAGGACTATTCCTTCCCAACAACATGACCAATGTAAGAGGAAGTTTCACCAGCCTTGTTTCTAAGGAGTATCCTGGTTACACTTCCTCAAAGACAAATTTATTTGTTCTTCTAACAGTCCAGGGAATATTCAGTACTCTTCACCGGTGCCATAATTCAAAGGCATATGTCTTTTATACAGAATGATTTCTAAACATAACCCACCAAAGAGAATGCCAAATCTTAAATGCAAAACTAAATTTATTTCTGTTTTTCCATTTTTCCATTGCTTGGTGTATAAAAGATACTCAGTAGATATTGGTTAGATAATGAATGGAAAATAGTTTAAAGTTAAAAATATGCAACACCTCCTCGGCTCCTACTTGGGCTCATGACACACTCCCCCTCCAGCAAGCACAGGGGAATGAAAGGCTAAGCATTTCTGCACTTTCTTCATTATTGTTTGCAGTTCAGATTATTATGATCGTTAGAATTTTCAATGACTGTTCCTTTATGAAAGTACTTTACCAGGTCTTCCTAGTTTTCTTATATATAAAACTCATTCCACATCCTAGCAGTGTGCGAGCCTCCGTGGATAGATGAATGGTAAAGATACAGAAAGTGTGCTGGCTGAGAATCAAACCTACATCTCCCATATCTTGTTGTTGCTCTTGTTCTTAGTTGCCATTGAGTCAGATGAGACTCATAGTGAGCTTGTGAATAACAGATCTGACCCTGTCCTGTCTTGTATCATCCTCATCTCTGACACACTTGAGCCCATTGTTGAAGTCACTGTGTCCATCTCATTGAGTTCTTCCTCTCTTCACCAACCATCCACCTTTTCCAAGCATGATGTCCCTTTCCAAAGAATAACCTTTCCTAGCAACATGCCCAGTAAATGAAAGACAAAGCTTCTCCATCTTTGCCTGCAAGGAGCATTCTGGATGCACTTTCTCCAAGTCATATCTGTTTGTTCTTTTGGCAGTCCACGGAATAGTCAGTACTCTTCTCCAGCATCACAACTTAAAGACATCAGCTTGGCCTCCGTCATCCTTATTCATTGTCCAACTCTTAGATGAGTAGCAAGTGATTGTAAAGACCATGGTCTGAGTCGGGCATATTTTAGTCTTCAAACTGACATCATTGCTCTTCAGCATTTTGGAGAGGTCTCTAATAATAGAATTGCCCAATGCAGTATATCTCCTGCTCTGTCCTGATCTTCTGGCTGCTAGTACCAAGGGTGTTGATTGTTGATCCAAGCAAAATTAAATCATTAACCACTTTGATCTCCCACATGTTGTTGTTGTTGTTGTTGTTGTCATGTGCCATCAAGTCGTTTGTGACTCATAACGACCCTACGTACAAGAGCCCTAAATGCCATTCTATCCTGTGCCAACCTCGCTGTGTCAAACACATTCATTCCCACCACTCCACTCACAGAATCGATCCATCTCATCGAAGGTCTTCCTCTCCTGCGCTGTCCCTCTACCCTACCAAGCATGGTGTCCCTCTCCAAGGACCTGTAGTATGTCAGACAAAGCTTCAGAATCCTTGACTCCAGGGAACATTCTGGCTTCACCCTGTCCAGGACAAACCTCTTTGTTCTCCTAGCAGTCCATGGTATATTCAACACTCTTCTCCAGGACCACAACTCAAAGGCATCAATTCTCTTTCTATCATCCCTATTCATTGTTCAACTCTTTGATGCATACCACATAATTGCAAAGACTATAGCCTGGATCAGGCGCACCTTAGTCTTCAGCCTGATGTTGTAGCTCTTCAGTACTCTAGAGAGGTCCCTCACAGCTGACTTTCCCAATGTAATTTGTTTCCTGATTTCCTGGCTGCTGTTACCAAGAGTGTTGACTGTGGAACCAAGTAAATGAAAACTGTTAATTGTTTCAATCTCTTCACCATCCATGCTGATACTGCCAATTGGCCCAGTGGTGAGAATCTTTGTTTTCTTGATATTGAGCTTCAATCCATATTGAAGACTGCAGTCCTTTATCTCCCACATAGAAGATGAAAATTCTACAGCCAACAGTCCCCTCATTTGACCCTTACTGTGTATGTGTGTAAGTATAAGTTTCTAATCAACTTGAACTAAATTTGAATACTCACCTTTCTGTTTAGTAAAGCCCATGAACTTAGATGAGTACTTAACATTCTGGACCTTGAAGTTCCTTATCTGGAAAGAAGGAAAAAAATACTACATGCTGATTATCTTGTAACCACTTCTAACTTATTGCTGTAGGATTGGTTGGCTTCTAAGTCAACCCAGACTCTCCATCTGAGATCCAGTGTTATAAATCTTTACAAGAAGAAATACTCAAGCCTGAGTAGCAGCTGTTGGATTCGAGCAGCCAACATTTCAGTTAACAGCTGAACACATCATGCCTAATGCCACCAGTGCTTCTTACTCCTTTGTAAGGACCCAAATGAAATATAAACCTTTAAATACAGTGAGGCATTTGAAAAAATTTGTTGGGAAATAAGTAGAATATATTCTTAAGAAATGTTGAGTACATTGTCAACTTGGTAAAAAATGCTTTCTTTTCTAACTTGCTGATTCCAAGTTGAATCTTAATTCAACATGGGATGACTTGTCCAATTCTGCATTTCTTAAGTTTTACCTTGGGATTCATTGATTTAATTTTTTCTTTTTGGCAGACTGTGTTTTTTGGTTGGTTTGTTTGCTTTGTTTTGTTTTCTGCAGACTGCGGATGTGAATTCTAACTCATGTGAAAAATTCTTTTTTCTAGGAGAATGCATAGAAGGATTGCGAGAAAATGACTACCTTCTGATTCATTCTTGCCGTCAGTGGACGACCATCACTGCCCATAGCTTGGAGGAGGGGCACTATGTCATTGGGCCAAAGATCGAGATTCCTGTGCATTATGCAGGTAAGACTTTGCTCTAGACACAAGTCAAGGAAAACGATTCACCATGCTCATTTTCTCTTCCTCCACAGTGGGAAAAATTGGATTATTTATAATTAGAGATATAATGACGTATATGCATTGGGTGCTTTTGTTTGGTTATTTTATTAATCAGTTGTCATGACATTAAATAGTGTTACCAAAAATACATGTCAGCTTGGCTGAACCATGATCATGAACGGTTTACCAATTATGTATTAAGGTATATTATTTGATAGTCATGTAATGATATAATTATCTTCCATGATATGACCTGATGTCATCATTCTATCAGTTGTATGGAGACTTGGATGAGAAATAACACTTTTAATCAAGTCATAGTTCTGATATTATGCAGGGGGTGTTTCCTTGAGGTGTGACCAACAGTGTCTTTATTTATTGTTGTTATTGTTGTTATATGCTGTCGAGTCATTTGCGACTCATAGCGACCCTATGTACAACAGCCCTAAACCCTGCTCTATCCTGTGCCAATCGCATTGCCTCTGACACACCCATCCTGATTACCCCAGTCACTGAATCAATCCACCTCATAGAGGGTCTTCCCCTCCTGCGCTGTCCCTCTACCCTACCAAGCATGGTGTCCCTCTCCAAGGACCTGTCTCTCCTTACAACATGTCTAAAGTATGTCAGATGAAGCCCCAGAATTCTTGCCTCCAAGGAGTAGCCTGGTTTAACTCTCTCTAGGATGAATCTGTTTGTTTTCTTGGCAGTCCATGATACATTCAGTACTCTTCTCCAGCACCACAGCTCAAAGGCGTCAATTCTCCTTCTATCCTCCCTAGTCATTGTCCAACTCTCTGATGTATAACAAATGATTGCAAAGACCATGGCCTGTATCAGACGCACCGTAGTCTCCAGAGAGACATCATTGCTCTTCAGTACAGTGTAGCTTCTTGCCACTAGGCCACCAGAGCTCCCCTAAGAGTGTCTTTTGTGGGCCTTTGCCATGAAACCTTTTAGAACCCAATGGAAGGTTGATCCAAGATGTGTGGAGAGGTGAGTAACACCAGGCCCACAGACACTGAAAGAAGATAAGACCCTTTTCTTAGAGATGAAAGAGACAGAAAGCCTTTCCCCTGAGCTGGAACCCTGAATTTGGACTATGCAGCCAACCTAACAGCAGGTGATTGGAACCTACCAGCTGCTCCCCTGCAAAAACTTGGGTCAGTCTCTTCCCATGTGACATACTGCCTCTGAAAACCTACTGGAGGGTCAGCCATGAGTTGGCTCATCCTTTACTGCAATGATCCAATGACTGACTAAGCTTCCTTAACTGTAGCTACGTACATTTCCGTTTCTGTTATTTCATTCTGCATACATTCATTTCTGTTATTTCAGCACTGGGTAATTAAGTCACCAGTGGAAATGCAGATCAGTTTCGTGACAAGTATTGCCAAGTGATGCATGTCTTTAAACTCCAAGATCTTATTAGATATTTGTAAGATGAGAATTTTACAAACACAATGAACTTCTATGTACTCCTAACATTAAAATCTATACCTATAGCTAATCCATGAACTTCCAGGTGGTCATCCCGATGAATAACTGATAAGCACAACATTAAAATGGCTTTTGTGAAAGACCTTGAGGCACTGTTTTCATAAGATACTAGATGGGTGGGTATTGCGATCTGGGTGGAGAATATTGGATTGAAAGTTTCATTTTCTTGGAAATGTCCCTCTTTTTTCAGCCTGGCCTTTTGAGTGACCTCACTGATTTGAGGTTTCTTCTCTGTAAAAACGAGGACAATACCTGAGTTTTCTCACCTCATTTTGACCTCCATCTAGCCCAACAAAGGCCATTCATTCAGCCGGTTAGTTGAGCTGGTTCTATGTGCTTTGTGAGCAAAACACAGAATGCAAAGATTTTATTCTAGTGTTGGGGGGGGGGAATTGCAATAATTAGGTTATAAATGCATTTAAAAAAAAAAATAAATGGGAGCTTATATTAACTTATCCTCTCTTCTGCTGCTTAGTGTGACTTAACAAAGGGTCTTGACCTTTCTCCTTGCTAATGTTCAGTGTTTTAAAAGGCTATGTAGTTGGGAGCCCTGATGGCATTCTGACTAACGCATTCAGCTGTTAACTAAAAAGTCAGCAAATGGATCTGACCCACTCAGCAAGAGAAAGATAAGACTCTGAAACGGACTTGGAAACCATATGGGACAATCTGCTGTGTCTTACAGGATCACTCAGAGTCAGAATCCATTCAATACCAGGGAGCTTTTAATAGCTTTTATCTGCTTGTAGAATTCAAAGAAATCAAGCCGTGTCACTGTATTTGCACAGGTAGGAAGTATTGGTGTACACTTTGCTCTGCATATTCTTAGAAACAACAACATAAATAAATTTAAAAAAAAGACTCTGTAGACTTATACTTTAATTGATTACTTAGAAACTGTATTCTTAGGCTTCTGTTGTTTTTGAGTTTAACTTCCACAATGCCCCAAAAGTTGTCAGTTTGGAAAAGACTCCTTGCTGTAGTCCCACTACAATGATGGCTAATCATAGCTCTTCAAGAAATATTTATTAATATTATTATATTAATATAGCATATTAATATAATAAATCAGAAGCTGAGATTACCATTTTTAATTCTCAGAAATCTTTGCCTGTTGCCCAAATGACCCTTCAGCTGCTACAAAATTTTTCTACTGCTTCTTTTTAAAAACAAATTATGTATATCTATGAAAAGAAGGAATGAATCCCCGTGTCCTGAAGCATTATCTTCTGGTCTTCTGGAATATTTCCTGGAGCTAAGAGTAGCTTTCGTAGGAAAAGAGAGGAGCAGTTAACTGGAGAAAGTATAATTTTTGTTTGATATTTGAGAACTAAGGAAAAGGGGTAGTTTTATTATATAGAGAATAAGACCAGTATTCTAGGCTGCCCATCTCTCCTGCTGATGGTTGCCATAACAGTTAAGATTTCTGCTGTTTTTATCAACCTAACTGAAAAGACAACTATAAGACTGTGTTCCACCCTGTGTACAATTTTACCTAATCAGTTCTGTTAATAGATTGAGTCTTTTCCCTAAAACCGTCTTAAAATAGCTCTGCTAAATTCATCTTCAAAAAAAACAATTTGCATTTTCTAATGTCTTGAAATGGCTTCAACAAGTTTCTGCTTACTACCCCTGGCTTCTTTGACCTGTTTCCAGAAGGCCTTTGAGGCCAAGGCTCATTCTAGCATATTCCTCTAAGCCTGTCTTTGCCATTTCCAAGATAAGCCTGGCCCCCTCTTCCTAGATTCTTCTTCATTGTGCTTCATGAACATTCCAGGTGCTGTTACTGAGCACACTGGGTGCTTTTCCATTTATGCCACCCACGTGCTGCCTATCAAAGACTTGCTGCATCAGCATGGCTCAGACGTGCATTTCCTGTCCCAGTGTGACTTCTAAGTGTGTGCAACGTTTACATGTTTGTTTTGCACGCATCCTCTGTCTTCATTCAGTTGCCCTTTCATATTCACATGTCTTTACTCTCCATTTGGACTTTACACCCTGTAAAACCATCAATTCTAAAATATCCTTGTCAGTCCTTTGGGTCTGTACACAAAATACATAGTCATGACTGCCGTGCACATGAAATCTGTGGAGACAGTGAATTTTAAACTTAGCTATATGTGAATCACCTCGGAAGCTTTCTGCATGATTGATGCCAGTGTATCAAACCTGGGATTTAACTGGTCTGAAGTGTGAGCTGAGCATCAGGATTTTAGAGGCTTCCATGGTGGTTTCAATAGAAGATTGGGAATCCAGCATTCCGGATTAGGTAACTCTAGTGTCAATTGATCAGACAAACATATACAGATGTTTACAAGATATGTAAGATATCCCTTGATACCTGCCAATATTTTCAACTTAATTTTTATTGATAGGCATTTCAGATTTCACTGGGAAGAGAGTGATGCTCAACCTTACTCATTATCTGTGAGGGCAATCATAATGTATTTAATTAAGCAGGTTTCATGTTCCAAATTACATACATACATATGTATATATATATGTATATATGTGTGTGTGTGTGTGTGTGTGTGAAATTAAGGTTACAAGATTAAAAGGAAAAATGGGTACTACGTTAAACTCATTTTATTAAAAACAGCAGAAAATATATTAAAGGAAGACAATCTGGAAATAGAATTAAATAGATTATTTACAAAAAGCTTGAAAATGGAAGGCTTTTGAGTGTGTATCTGTTTTCTAAGCAGACCCTGAAAACTGCCTCAACAAGAATCATAGATAGAAATTAAGAGGCACAAAGATCACTGTGGGTTTCACAGCACAAAACAACAAAAAACTTGTTTTCAAAATAAAGATCAGTTTAGAGATTTGATAATCATTTTTAAAAAAAATTCCTGTAGACTAACAATTACACCAGAGAGAATATATTGTGATTATAGTATAAAAATTTTATTCATGAATCATAATATATTCCTTTTGGGCATTTTCTTAGGAAATAGTTTCTAAGAACATAATAAGTACCGAAGTCAGCTCTTATCAGAAATTGTAAGACCAAAAGACCTGTTAGGTCTCTCTAGCTTATATGTGATCTTATTATAATAGGAAGCTCTTCACTGTGTATTTTACTAATTTTCCAGAATTTCATTTGAGTTGCAATCAAATTCTTAAATTTAAGGAAAATTAACAAATGACTAATAATATAAATAAATTTTATTTCATTGTAAGGCATTTCTGCTTTAAAATCTGACTGCCTCATTTGATCCTGGTTTTGCTATTTGGCAAGTGATGAAATCCCTATAAATCTGAGTTTTCCTCATCTCTAAATTGAAGCTAATTATCAAGACTTTTCTCTTAGGATCCTTATGAAGATTAAAGAACATAACGCATGCCAGACACCCATCAGTGTGCTTACCACTTACTAAGTGCTTCATAAAGGTTAGCACTGATGATTAATATAATAACCAACAAAATGTTTCAGAGGATTAAACTCTATTTTACATGACTAA